TACATAGAAAAGTATAAAAGGCACACGATTAGTGAGAGATCAGTAACCAGAATGCAAGGATCTCTATAGCAGTCTGGAGTTTTTGCAGTATACCTCACTGCAGCCTCAAAATAAAAAAAAGAAGTAATAATCTTTTAAAGTTTTCTTCTGAGCATAGTTTGAGTAGCAAAAGCAAGAGTCTATTCAAATTTAGGCTCTAAACGTTTTAACAAATTGAATTAGAAATGTATTTCTCTAGTGTACTTGAGAGTACTTAAAAATAGACTTTATGTGACTTTTAATTTAAAGACATAATCCAAGAAACATTTTTCTTGGGATAAAATCTTATTTAAATATTTCTCACCAGCACAAGGTAATCTAAGTGCTATAAACTATACTTTTAAAATTCAAATGCATTTATAAAACAAATCAAATTGACTTATGAGATAACAATACACACGTATTGGAATGGCTAAAATCCAGAACGCTGGCAACACCAAGTGCTTACGAAGATGCCAGTCAACAGGAACTCTCATTCATGGCTGGTGGGAATGCAAAATGGGACAGCCTCTTTGGAAAACAGGTTGGCAGTTTCTTACAAAACTAAACATACTTACCAAACTAACAGTCATTAATGTGCTTGTTGCTATATACCCAGATTAATTAAAAATATATGTCCACACAGAAACCTGTACATGGATATGTGTAGTAGCTTTATTTCTAATTACCCAAACTTGGAAGCAACCAAGATGCCTTCAGTAGGTGAATGGTGAAGGATATTGCTAATAGGGAAGTCTGTGCATGTGTTGGGTTAGGGTGTATATGGAAAATCTCTGTACTTTCCTCTCAGTTTTTCTCTGAATCAAAAACTACTTTTAAAAAAGTCTTAAAACTAATGATTTTGAAAAACACCAAAACTCTGCCAAAGTAATATTAACCCTTATGTGAAGTTCATGTGCTATATTTATCCTTTTGAAAGTCTCATCAAATCAATGAAACAGACATTTTCTATGGCAATGAGGACATAATAAAATAATCTATTCAATTAGTGAAATGAGTTCCTTCATTTATAAGGCAAATTCAATTACGTAATAAGTAGAGGATCCATTTGAGTTTGACCTAAATTTTCTAAACGTAAAAGAACAAACTATGGCATGGGAAATATGATTAACTTCCAAGTTTTCTCAATCATAATTTGAGACAATTTGTAATTTTTGCTGCTGTGGTTGATGTACTGTCTCAGGGTGAACTATTGAGAAACCAAGAGTCACCAAGAGGCAACATCTTTGATTCTCTCTTTTATTTCTCTTTTGCAAATGATGATAATTTGTTTCTGGTGATTTGGAAGCCTCTTTTTTAATGCCTCAGCACCCAAAAAGCTGTAATTTCCTATTACATTGCTGTCTAGGCTAGTACCACAAAGCAATTCCTTTCTAATATTTTTTTTCTTATGATTCTTCTCATAAGCATTTAATTATTTTTAAGCCATGTCTTATTTGAGATTCATTTTTTTAACTTTTATTTTAAGTTCAGGCATACATGTGCAGGTTTGTTACATAGGTAAACTCGTGTCATGGGGGTTTGTCATACAGATTATTTCATTGCCTAGATTACTTGAGGTTCTTTAAACTATTTTTTTTGTTATTGATAAGTGAGTAGAAGAATTTACCTTCAAATGAATTTATATTTTTATGTTTTTCCTACTTCCAAAAAAGAAGTGAGGAATTCCTCAGTGATATAGGACAATTTTATAACTGATGCATCATCGACTTTCTTGTTAGTGATAAGAGAGTCATGTAAGTGAAAAAGTAGTCTCAGTGCATGTCATTCAAATTGTGTCTGGTGCTCATGGTTCAATGCACCTCCCACGACACCTCTACTGTCTGCACTGCTCTCTCCATAGGCACTAGCACTGCTACCACTGGCACCACTGCGGCGGTGGGCACTGGATACATAGAATCCTCAATGCATCAAAGCTTGGATATGCTCCACAGCTTCAAGCTGTATTCAGGATTCTCCTTCTCCTCTGAAGACCAGGGTTTTTTATTGGACCTGAAAGGGAATTATTTACAGAATGAAATCATTCCTGGAGGTTTTTAAATTCCTCATGTAAAAAGGCTAATAATTCTTGAATTAATAATTTTGATATCTAAGACCAAATGACCAGGGATCATGTAAACCAGAAAGTGTCTTAGGCAGATCTCAATCGATTTACAGGTTTATTTTGCCAAGGTTGAGGGCACACCCAGGAAAAAGAAACACAAGTTAAAGTAGGATTTTTCCTAATAGTGCCTTAGGCAGATCTCAGAAAGTGTCTTAGGCAGAAAGTGTCTTAGGCAGATCTCAATCGATTTAGACGTTTATTTTGCCAAGGTTGAGGGCAAGCCCAGGAAAAAGAAACACAAGTTAAAGTAGGATCTTTCCCAACAGTGCTTAATGTCTGTGTTTTGGATTTTCCTCATTGCTATGAACTGAATTATGTCCCTCCAAATTCATATGTTGAACCCCTGATCCTCAAGTGACTATATTTGGAGATAGGAACAAAAAGAAAGCAATTAAGGTTAAATGAGGTCATTACATGTATTAGTCTCTTTTCACAGGGCTATAAATAATAATACCTGAGACTGGGTAATTTATAAAGGAAAGAGGTTTAGTTAACTCAGTTCTGCATGGCTGGGGAGGCCTCAGGAAAGCTAAAATCATGGCAGAAGGTGAAGGAGAAGCGAGTACCTACTTCACAAGGCAACAGAAAAGAGAGAGCACGAAGGGGACAGAACCCCTTATATAACCATCAGATTTCGTGAGAACTCACTCACTATCATGAGAACAGCATGAAGGTAACCAACCCCATTAGCCAGTCACCTCCCACCAGATCCCTCCCTCAATACCTGGGGATTACAATTTGAGATGAGATTTAGGTGGGGACACAAAGCCAAACCATATCATAAGGATGGGACCCTGATCCAACAGGAATTGTGATTCTATAAAAAAAGACACCAGAACACACTCTCTCTTGCCCCTCTCTCTCACCCTCTTCCTCTGCACCCTCAGAGTAAAGGCTACATGAGAAGATGGCAGTCTGCAGTGTGGAACAGAACCCTCACCAGAAACCAAACCCTCAGAGACCTTGACTTCAGACTTCCAGCCTCTAGAACTGTAAGAATTAGATTTTTGTTGTTTAAGCCATCCAGTTGTGATATTTTGTTACGGCAGCCTAAGCAGACTAATACATTTGTGTTCCAATTCTTGGACCTGGAGGCAGTCATAAATTAGTGAGGTATGACCAAGAGTTGTACACAATGTCTGAATAGCATTTTGCAATATTACATTATTCATATTACTTTAAAATTTATATATATGTATGTCTAGATGAAACATGTGAAACATGACATTGATTCTTTACATTGGCAGCTAGATGGAAATGTAGCATTTTGATTGTGAATGGTTTTACTTTTATAAAAATATTTCATATGATGTAGTTATATTTTCAAACATAAAATTAAACTTTATGTATTTGGAGTTAAATTTTGATACTGATTCTAATTTTTGTCTTTTAACTTTAATATGTATTTTTGAATATTTTAGAGGAAAAATAAGAAATGAAAAATATTTTCAGATTGGTTATGTTTAGAATTTTTTTACACTTGGCAAACAATTTTTTTTAATGCATCACGTCAGAGATGAGCAAACTGCTGCCTGTGGGTCAAATCAGGCCTATTGTTCATTTTTATAAAGTTTTATCAGAATGCCTCCACACCCAAATTTTTATATGTTGTCTATGGCTATTTTTTATTCCACAACATCAGAGTTGAGTAATTGCTGTCGACACTGTATGACCCACAAAGCTAAAGATAATTACCGGCCTTTTACAGATAAAGTTTGCTGACCCCTGCTTTAGATAACCAAGAATGTGTTCACTTGGAAATCATGACATAAATATAAAATACAAAAGTAGATCTTAAAATAAAAGCAAAAAAGCAAAAACATTTAAAACTAATGCTTCAAATTTAAATACCTGGAAGCTGAAAAGTGAGCAGATTTTTGTAGAGCATGATCCACATAAAATTTGCAAGCAGGACATTACAAACTCTTTATTTAAAGAAGATTTCATGAAAATAAGCAAAAACATTGTTCTTACCAAATTCCCAACTAGAATTGGCTTAGATGCAACCCTGCAATGTCAAATTCTTCATTAAATGAAACTGTAACCACTGGCCAAAACAATGAGAATGAAAGAGAGAGTTATTCCTAAAAAAGTCATACTTCAGAGATGGCAAATATACCTTTGGTCTGCTCATTAGAAGTTGAAGAAAACTACATTCAAAAAATCTGAAAACTGGATAAGAAAGTCAAGACCTCTGGAACTTTACTCTGTTTATTGGATGATGATTCTGGAAAATCGGCTGTCATATCCTGACATGAGTGAGACTGTTTCTAGCAAAGCAAATCTGATTCAAATCAATGAATAAATTTTTCCATTAGATAAACATGGCAGAACACTTATATTTCATTTTCAACCCAAATTCTTTCAAATTGGAAAATAAGTTATTGTAGTCTAAGTTCAAAGACAAAGTATCTTGTTACTACTGTTATGCATTTCTCAACCAATGTTCATGATTGGTTTTGGCAAATGAAGATATTTGTGACTGGAAACACATTGTCAATTAAAAGAATGTGAAATGTTACATGCATATAACATTAGCAAATATTAGAACTGAAAATTAGAAGACTGAGTAAATGACAAACAATTGATATTTTTGGCAAAGAAGTAAATATAGAACAAAATACAAAATATTGTTATAATATTCTTAAAAGAATATTGAAAGATAACATGTGTATAATATTTGGAAAAACACAATGAGGTTTATTGTAGCATTAATATTTATTTTAAAAAATAAAAACTTTTTAGATCTTGTGAAATATTTTCCAATTTGTTAATAGAATGGCTGAACACGTAGTATGAATTCAAAATAATGAAAAATACGACTTCTCTGTGGGATGGAGAATTCAAATTAGATCATTAATTTATTGGATAGGCTGAGCGGCAGTGGGAGCTGCCGGTGGTTGGCGCCTGCGGAGTTCCAGACCATGCTGCTGTTCTGCCCCGGCTGCGGGAACGGGCTGATCGTGGAGGAGGGACAACGCTGCCACCGCTTCGCCTGCAACAGGTGCCCCTACGTGCACAACATCACCCGCAAGGTAACAATCGGAAGTACCCAAAACTGAAAGAAGTGGATGATGTGCTTTGTGGAGCAGCTGCCTGCGAGAATGTTGACTCTACTGCAGAGCCATGTCCCAAATGCGAACATCCTCGTGCTTACTTCATGGAGCTTCAGACCCGCTCTGCAGATGAGCCGATGACCACCTTCTACAAGTGCTGCAGTGCTCGGCGTGGACACCGCTGGAGGGATTAGGGCCAGGATGGCCCAGCTGCCTTAGCGTATGCTTACCTTGTCCCTCGGCGTAGATGCTTAGCTGGCAGTATGAATCGTGTGTCCTGAGGGTCTTTGCTGGTGTGGTGGAAAGATAAACCTTTTGAGGTGAAGAGCTGGGGGGTCAGGATATGTGATCTATCTGCCAGTCAGAGTGGATGAAGTCACGAATATCTGGGAGTTTTTCTGTGTGGGGAGGAGACAGAGACCCATAACTAAATACGCTCTGTTTAAAGTCCTGTTCTTTCATCTTCCATATTTATTGGCAGTTGACATTCCCTTACTCCCAATCAACACTCTTAAACATTTGTACTGTTTGCAAAACTTAACCCTAAATATTTAACTGTTACTTGTAAACTTGTGTAATTCATTATTTATTTTAATCACAATTCTGAGTATTTCATTAAAATGAAAGTTCTAAAAAAAAAAATTTATTGGATAAGAAAGTAGGGGAAGAAAAAACATAAAATGTAAATATTATTCGATTTTACTGGATTTCAAAAGTCACATTGAGACACTCTTCAAAAAAAAGGAAATTGTGGTTTTTAGTAGAAAATGAATTATGACTTTAATTATGAATATGTACTATCCATGTTGCTTCCTGATAATAATATTAACCAAAGATAATGACCATCTGCACTCCAAATGTGTGTGGCTACTTCGGTTTCAAAGGGATTTAAATAAAAAAATAAATAAATACCTTTAGAAAAAATGATTTTTCTAAATTGCAAGGAACTGCACATGATATATACAACATTTCATTAAAATACATGGAAATTACAAGGAGAAATGAAAATGTTTCATTGTCTCTACAGGAAAAGATTCATGTCCAAATATTCTCCAAACTAAATTTAATAGACTTTTTTTGGCCATTAGAAAGCAGGTTATCATTTCAACTGAAGAGAGATTAGGACAAATTGAACAGCACTGCTGTTTTCAGTTCTCTTTATAAACCCCCAGATATACACAATAAAAATTAAATTCAGTTTTCTTTGCTATTTTGTCAACTTTCAGTCATCTAGAAACTGTAGCTTTACATATATTTTTCAATTTTGAAAAAAATTTAATTATTTTGAGTACATCGTAAGTGTTTATATTCATTAGGTACATGTGACATTCTGATACAACATGCAACTGTAATGATCACATCAGGGTAATAAGGTCTCCATCACCTCAAGCATTTATCATTTCTTTGTGTTAGAAACATTTCAATTGGAATATATTAAATATCTTTTATTATTATTATTAATTATTATTATTTTGAGACGAAGTTTCATTGTCACCCAGGCTGGAGTGCAGTGGCTTGATTTTGGCTCACTGCAACCTCTGCCTCCCGAGTTCAAGTGATTCTTTTGCCTCAGCCTCGTGAGTAGCTGGGATTACAGGCACTTGCCACCACCACGCCCGGCTAATTTTTGTATTTTTAGTAGAGATGGGGTTTCACAATGTTGGCCAGGCTGCTCTCAAACTCCTGAACTCAGGTGATCCTCACACCTCAGCCTCCCAAAGTGCTGGGATTACAGGAGTGAGCCACTGTGCCCGGCCAAATATTTTCATTTTCATTTTATTTATTTATTTATTTATTTTGAGATAGAGTCTCGCTGTGTCACCCAGGCTGGAGTGCAGTGGTATGATCTTGGCTCACTGCAACTTCCACCTCCTGGGTTCAAGTGATTCTCCTGCCTCAGCCTCCTTAGTAGCTGGGACCATAGGCGCCTGCCAGCACGCCTCGCTAATTTTTGTATTTTTAGTATAGAAGGGGTTTCACTATGTTGGCCAGGCTGCTCTTGAACTCCGGACTTGTGATCCACCCGCCTTGGCCTCCCAAAGTGCTGGGATTACAGGCGTGAGCCACTGCGCCTGGCCCGAAATATTTTTTAAAAACAGGTTGTTAGCTTGTGGAAAATGTAAATATCTAGACACCTGTGCTTCCATTGGGAGTCTTACTCCCAGCCTCTCGGTGTCGGGGCTGGCCTCACTTTCTTCACGGGTTATCATGAGGGACATCGGATGGGAGAAAATGTGAAAGCACATTGACTGTACATGAGGCGACTTTCTGTTAGCCTTCTCTCTACTACTGCTACATTTCAAAGAGGTCTTTGGTTGCTGTTTTTAGGAAGTGGGGCTATTGCTTCACACTCCAACTGTTTAGTATTTTCTTTTTAATTTGATGACTTCAGTTTTCCAATCTGAAAAAGATGCTTTGGTTTGAATGAACCTGTGTAAGTAGGCTTCTCCTGTTGAAGATTCAAAGAAATTTCCTTTTTTTTTTTTTTAATTCTACATGCTTCTAGGGAGAAATGTCTTCCCATCTAGAAGTATCAACAGTCTATCACTATCCAGACCTATTAAATTGAACGATTGATTGCAACAAAGGCTATGCTGTTATATTTAAGCAGTTATTACATATCTCATATGCCAAAATTGTTAAAAATAACAAAGGCCTACTATCTTGAATGTGGGAAACCAAATCATTTTTTTAAAGGCGTGATTAATTGTGTGAGTTTGAAACCCTTAAGTAGGTGTGGTAAGCTGTATTCTGTGGGAACTTTCTCAGTATGTGTGCAACTATGTAAACAAAAAGTTAAAATGCAGCTAACACTTTCCCTGGCATTTATTAGCATAGCAAAGAAAGCAGAAACCAACCAATTTTTACATAAAAAGACAGTAGAAAGCTGTGTCTGCTTGCATTACTGTTCGATCTGTGGGTGCCAACTATACGCATAGAAACAATTTTTATTTATAGGCCTATCACCAAAATGTGTTCTTCATTAATTCATATTTTTCTCAGCCTCACATTACTTCTTGAACTCATCCAGGTAGTTTTTAAATGCTAAGGGTAATTTAAAACTGAGCAAATTCATGTGTACCGCATTTTTCAGTGTTTAAGAATAATTGAATGGAAACATCCTTACCATTCATTCAATATTTTGTTAATTTGTTTACCTTTAATGAACCTGAGGAATACCACAATGTGAACGTGGCTGGATCTTTTGAGTTAAAATCCACACTGGGAAAGAAATAGACCTTGAACATCTTGCCAAAGGTATTTAGAAATCTATTTCTCACAAGATTAAAGCTGAAAGTCCAAAGTAACTGCAGTTTATTCCAGCAATACAGTTCAGTGAAATGCTGTTCTATCAAACATTTCCTCATATATGACACTCATTAAAATAGAAAAGACCTCGTCTGAAGGCTTGTAAAGTGACGTTTCTTCCATATAATATTTTCCTGCATGTAATGTTCAAAAATTGTAGTGCCCTGGAAAACATTACAAAGGATTTTCCTTGTAGATCTGTACTTGTTGTTAAATTTCTTTTGGGCTGTCCTTCTGGTGGGTGTTTCATAGCCTTTTATAGATTTGGTCTATATATAATAGGAAAAAAGCCCCGTTCATTTGATTTTAAATAGTATCCATAGGAAGCAGCAGGAGAAAGTTTGCATTCCTGGGTGAAGGTCCTTGAGCACTTTTTTTTTTTTTTTTTTTTTTTTTGTTTCAGATGGAGTTTCGCTCTTGTTGCCCAGGCTGGAGTGCAGTGGCATGATCTTGGCCACTGCAACCTCTGCCTCCCGGGTTCAAGCATTTCTCCTGCCTCAGCCTCTAGAGTAGCTAGATTACAGTCATGCGCCACTGTGCCCGGCTAATTTTGTATTTTTATTAGAGATGGAGTTTTGTCGTGTTGGTCAGGCTGGTCTCGAACCCTTGACCTCAGATAATCCACCTGCCTCGGCCTCCCAAAGTGTTGGGATTACAGGCATGAGCCACTGCAGCTGGCTGAGCCCATGTTTTATTCCAATAAAGGTTCAGTCATGCCTTTTCATTTTTTGCCCAGTGAAGTGTGTCACCTGTGCTGTTCTCTGCAACTAAAGGACGGATAAATTGTTGTTTGTGAATTAAAGTGGCCCTCTCAATCTGGAGAGTGACTTTACCTATGTGCGTTTTTTTTTTTTTTAACACTGCATTAATCAGAAAGCCTCCATTTAAAAAAGGTAACTGACTTGGATTGCAATAGTGTAATTTACCAGTACCCATTATTCAACAGCCTAGCAAATGGTGATTAGATGATTAAGGCAGTTTTCTACTTCACCATAAGGCTGTTAAGTTCCTAGTAACAGTTTTCTAGTGTGCAGTGTATAGGTTATATACAATGAAGTTCATGCAGACATAATCTACCTTCTACTTCTGCATATTATGTATGTTTTAAGCAAGTGTTAATCCAAAAGCGCCTTCTTATTCACTCAATCATTTATTGAAAAAAAATTTGGAGCATCTACTACATGCCACCAGGTGTAAGAGTTGACACCGTCCTCATCTTTCCAAATTTGCAGACATGGAATGAGGGCTTACAATAGATTGTGATGAAAGTTGACATCAGTGAAAGCACAAGATGTTACGGGGAAAAAGACCAAAGGGATCTGACCTACTTTATGGAGCCAGGAAAGGCACTACAGGGTAGATGTGGTGGGTGGCATTTAATCTGAAACCTGAAGGTTGACAGGGACAAGCTAAGGGAATGCGTATGTTGAAAATTGAGAAGATTCTCAGACAGAGAGAAGAGCACTTGCAAAGTCTCAGAGGTCAGAGAGAATGTGGTGTGTTCAAGGAACCAGCAATTTGAGGCCAGCTTTGAGGTAGAGAAAAAGAGAGCATGATGACAGGCTGTATGTCTCTTCCTACCATGTTTCAGGCTAAGCAAATTATTTTTAATGTTAGCTAAGGTAAACCATAATAAAAAGGTCTGCTAAGCAAATTATGGAATACAGTTCAAATTTTCTCTAACGCTGCACATTCAGGGTTCGTTGCACAGGCAACCTTGCCAGGCCTAAAATCCAAATCTGCTCCTGGCAAGGAGAGATTTCTTTTCACGGTTTTTAACTGATCATCTGGGTGCCAAGAGGATTTTTCCCCAGCTGAAGGGTTGTGCAATTGAGTCTAAGTTGGGGTTTGGGGCATGGACACGCATTTGGAAATGGAAAACTTTCCTGTAGGATAACAGCTCTAAGTCTGCTGCTGTGCACTTGTGCTCCCCTCCAGGCAGGGAGGACATGCGCTGCTCAGGGTTCTGAGCTGACACGAGCCTCTTACCTCAACCCTCTCCTCCTGTTGAGAGAACCCCGCTGGGTTCCACAGAGAAGAAGAGGATGTGACTCAAAGATTCTGGGTTTCCTTGGTTCCCTGGGCTGGGAGTCAGAGATAATGGAAGCCAGGTGTGTGATCTGCATGTATGCAGGTTTTTTTTTTTTTTTCTCCCTTTTTCTTTCCAAAGCAGAGAAGGTGAGGGGTCATTGCTACTCCGGGAGAGAGCCCCCGAGGTGTCAACTGTGGCAGAGTGCTGGCGGCATCCACAGTGGGCGTGTCACTCAGGGTGGTGGTATCAGAGATGGT